GCGGTTGCGAGTTCTGGCCCAAACGAGATTGCAGGATGCACCCCAACCGCGCACCAGAGCGTAATCGGGCCCTTGGCGGGCCCACAGATCTCGATTCAGACTCCGACGAGGTGTTGGCCGCTTGCTTCCATATCCGCAGGGTTCCACGGGCTGTCATGCACTGTTTAGCATCATGTGCGTTGCTCGGCAATTCCGGCCCCTTTGAGTGCTGTAGCGGACACATCGCGCATTCGAAGGATCTGAAAGGTACCGACAGATGCCGAACAACACGGAAAACACGAATGGCCCTGAGGGCCAGGCCCTCAGGTGGAGAAGTATGCGTAAGGTATCACCGCAGTGTGCGCGACAACATGGATTTTTGTTAAAATTCGCACGCAACTGGCCGCCAAAGATGAGGACCCCTTGGCACATCCAATCGGTTCCGAGTGCTGGCAGGGTCAGCCTGCTCGGAACAGATTTGGGCTGGGGGGTCCTCACAGGACCTGGCCCAATCGCGTGAGCCGAAGGCCTGGTACGGCCAATACACGCACTACTGGGACATTACACCGACCCGCACGTGGTTCTACTAAGGCTTTGCTGGTTGAAACGTTTGTACCGCCCCCGCACACTAGAAAGTGAAGTCATGAGTCATGGCCTCTCTCCCCGGGGGCGCCAGCCCAGCCAAGAACCGAATAATACAAACACTGTTAGGGGAAAATGCACCTACCATATTGGCGGCCAAGTCTCGAGTCGGTGGCATGCGAAAACGCAAACATTACCTGAATCGCTTGTCCGTCAGATCCCACGCCTCCTCGTCCCCTCCAGGGCCCCCCCTTCCCCTGCTCTCCTGCTCCGAGGACCAGACGGCCTTGAAAGAACATGTCAGGGGCACGGCCTTGGGGCCGCCGGCTCGGGTGATCGTGATTTATCTCGACCCATGAGTCCATGAGCTTTCAGGCCGCTCGTCCCAAGCGGTCCGAGAGACTCGAACTGCTCGTGTTTCTGAATCCTGTTCCTCGGACTCCTCTGGGAACTATTTCGTGTCCCCTGGCCCCCCTCCCCCTCTCTTCGACGAGGGGTGGGTCTTTGTCACAGTCGGTGTCCTCAACAGTCATTTTGGACTCGAGGCGGCGCCAAAGCTGCCCTGGGGTTTTGACCCCACCGACCGAGCCCCCCAGCATACAGCGTCGGGCTCGGCCATATGGCAGCTGGGAGCGGCGACCCCTTGGACGACCTGCTTCAATGCGGCAGCGCTTCTGATGCTGATGCGGAGGCGGCATCCGTGGCAGGGACATTGTCGTCACTTGCTACTGGCACCGTTGGCAAAGCCCCCGGCTCCACCAAGCGCAGTGTCGAGGGCGCCGACGGCACCGAGGCCGTCGACCTAGACTTCGTCGAGGAGGAGTTGAAGTGCGTAGGCTGTGGGAAGAGCAGTACGGACGACTGCCCCGTCGAGAAAGCCAAAGGGAGTCAGGGCAAGATGGGCAAGAGAATCCAGTGGGGAAAAACTACGACTCGGACCAAAATGGTGAAGAATAAGAAACTAAAGATGAAAGTGAGCTGCGGTGAGTGGTGCCGCAATTGCCTAAACGTGTATCGCGCTCGCTTCATGTCCACCGAGGAGAAGGAGCAGTCGCGCCTGTCCGGGAACAAGAAGGACAAGGACGGCAAGGGCAAGAACAAAGGGCTGAAACTCTTCAAAAACAGACTTCTGAAAGACAAGACTTTGCGCACTAACTTCCGCAAATGTGGCAAGGAGAGGATCCATCTGATGGCGGGCGGGGAGAGTCGCGTAGTCAAGTACAAGACGAGCATCAAGCGGAAGCACGTCACCAGGACTGAGCTGGTCGCCCCGAAGAAAGAGTTCTGGCAAGAATGTGCTTTCAAGGAGGCCTTCGGCGAGCCGGCTCAGCTAGGGGCCAAGCTCGTCTGGAGGAAGGACAAGAGGGGCAAGAAAATGAGAGGGGTAGTGGTGCAAGGGAACGAAGGGACTGCAAACGGCAAGGCTGGCGTCTGGGAGATACGAGACTCGGTCATCGACGATGTTGCCCAAGAAGAGGAGGTCGACTCGGGCAACGAGATTTTGGACGACGAGCAGATCGGAGAAGCATTTGCGGAGGCATCTGGTGTCATGCACGCCGAGAGCGCCGCCCTCGCAGCCGTCGCCTTGACCGCCGATGAATTTCGGAGGAGAGCTCGCAAGTCCAAGGGCCCGGGCAACGAGGTGGCAAAGACTCCAGACCAGGAGGCAAAGCAAACCAAGGAGAGCGACAGCGACAGCAACGGCGATGCCTCCAGCGACTCCGACGACAGCAAGGGCTCCGACGACTCCGAGGATGACGACGACGAGGACGAGGTGGACAAGGGCGACGAGCAGCAGCGGAAGCAGCATAAGCACAAGGCAGCAGGCTCCAGCTCAGCTTCAAAGGAGGTGCGCGTCGACATCGTTGCCAACAAGAAGCTCGCGGCCCAGGACAAAGCGGTGGCAAAGGATCAGCAGCAGCAGCGCGACGATGATGACGACGGCCCCTCCAAGAAGAAGCAGCGGATGGTCGCCTCAGAGTCCGCCCTGAAGGCAGAAGCGCAGACCGAGACACTCATGGCCAAGTTCTGCGACAACGGTTTTCACGATGTCAAGGGCAGGGAGCACCAGAAGTTGATGACGGAGTTCAAAAACACAGTAGACAAAGCCAAGAAGACGATAACCACCATTCGTGCATCCAAGGTACAGACCGCTGCGTCGATGCAGTTAGCTGATCGGATGGCAGATGTCGTGCCGAAAATGGAGTTGGCATCGAAGCTTTTATCTGCCCTCCAGAAGGGGACGACCACCTTTGGTGATTTTAAGAAGCTCTTGGAAGAGGCGACTGCACTGGGCCTCCGCATGCACGATAACCTGTCCGTGGCTGTCTTCCTTCGGACGTTCGATGCGGTTCTGCACGACACGAACGAGGCCTTATCGACGGCTGCATTTCTCTTGAATTGCAACTCGGGCCATGCATGCTCCATTGCGGTTGTGCCTGAGGGTAAGCAGGCCGAGAGCATCGCGGCCTGCTGCCGCAAACTTGCTGCGAAGTTGTTCCCGAACAAGTCTGCTCCGGGGGAAAATCTTGACTCGCAGGAGGCGATCGCCAGGGATACACTGGGCAAAATACTCGACGCTGTGAAGATCACCCATGAGACCCATGAGCGCCTCAAGCTACCGGAGGAGCTCTTGAACGACCTCGACCTGTGCCTGATGCTCTTGGATTTCGGATCGCTCAGCAGGTCGGAAGCCAACGAGCTGCTTCAGAAGCTCAATTCCTCAAAGGACCTGAGGGACTTTCCGATGTTCAGCCTGATGAAGGCGAGCAAGATTGGCAGGGTGAAGCAGAAGCAGGTTTCGGCGCGCTGCGAGGAGGCGGCGAAAGATGAGGCGATGCTGCAGTTCTGGACCAAGGCCGCGGCGGAGCTCACCGAACTCGTGGAAGACACGGCGCAGGACAACCGAGATTCGAAACTCTCTGAGCAAGCCAGCAAGCCACCGTTGTTTGAGGCTACTAATTAATTAACCCAAGGTCCCCCCCCGGCCCGTGGCCTGGTCCATGTGAGTCTGAGTCTGAGTCTTGAATTCAGTCAGATGACGGAGGTCCGGAGGTCCGAGGCCCTCGGCCTTGAGCAGTTTTGTTGTCAGAGCGGCTCACTGTTGGCCTGCGGCCCAGGGCCCCGGATGCCCCAAATGCCCAGGCAAAAGAGGCAACATTTGTCTAAGAGGCCCGTCATCGTTGGATGGACCCCAGGGCCCAGCCAAAAAAGAGCCAGGGCGGAAGCCAAATAACTATGTGCCATTCAGCCATTCACAGGAGAACGTCGACGTCGACGCGATTGCCGATAAGCTAGCCGCTCTGTGCGATACCTGCAGCTCGTTCAGCAACGAACTCAAGGCCGACGGCAAGGTGAGGTCCAATGCTTTGAATGCGATCTGTACGGTGGACGTCGCTCGGATGAGACTTCTCGAGACAGGCCTACTGAACCTCGTCACGGCCATGAATGCTATGAAGGGCCAAGATGCTGCTGGCGCAAACGTGGACTGCAACGCCGAATCGACGTGCCCCAAGGCTAAGCACTTCCGTGACATCTCCAAGCTTGACCACGCGATCAAGGATGGCATGTGCAAGATCCATTCAGCCTTCGGCCTCGAGGGGATGACCTTCAAAAGTCTTTTGGACAGCTGGGCAGGGCTTGACTCAGTGGTCAAGATGGCGGAGCTACTTGAGCAGGCAGTTGGTGATTTTTCTGGCTTCAGAGCAGAGCAGGGCCAATGAGCAACGTCCTCCGAAGTAGTCGTAGGGATTGTTTCTGGCAATATTTATGTAAGTTGTTTTTTTTAGTTTTTATTTTTTCTTTTGTTTACATTTTTTTTTTTTTTTTTTTGTGTTTATGTTTTTCTTTTTTTAGCTGTTGTTTGTTTATTATTTACTTTCTGTCTGTTTCTTTGTTTATTGTTTTTTGTTTTTTTGTCTATTTTTTGGTTCTTTATTCTTTAGTTTCTTTGCTTTTTGAAGGTCGTGGGATTCGCCAAGCTAGTTGTCAACCTCCCTGTGAAGGAACTGACCTCGTGGCTGGAGATACGTCTACCCCGTCATGGCCAACAAGGACCTGCTCGACCTGGGGCCTCATATTGACAAGACCGTGCAGGAGTGGCCAGGCCGCAACTAGGGGCCTAGGGGTTCCCCCTTTTCAAACCCTATCTCCCCAAGGAAGCTCTGCAAAGTCAAGGCGTCAGGGCCCTGGCAAGGCCAACGGACCAATGGGCCTGACAGCCAAGAGCTGGCTGTCAGGTCTGTTGGCCGCGAGTGCGAGTGCAGCACAGGCAGTCAGTTGGCTGCCAACTGTGAGTCAACTGCCTGCGCTCGCGTGAGTGCCCAGGCAGTTGGAGGCGAGGGGCCCTCTCCCCCCCCCCCCCCTCGCTGAGGGAGGGGGGAGGGAAGGGGGGGAGGAAGGATAGAAGGAAGCTCGCCGTTTTGCCTTTGGCCCCTAAGGAGTTCAATGCCAAGTTGAAGGTGTACTTCTCGAAAGCTATCGCCAATGATGTCGGTGGCCAGCTGCCCGTCGACCCGTCGCAATTCCAGTCAGACTTCGTGGACGCCGATGGCAATGTGAATCAGACGGTAGCAGACGCAGTGGCCATGCTGGATATGAAAGTCGTTCTTGGGAGGCTCGACGTCATGCTGGGCTACGCGATGGTCGCGGACAAGCTGGGAGTCAAGAACGAATCTCTGAACGAGCCGTGCCTTCAGATGTGCGCTGCCATCCTGCCAGCTGTCAAGAAGATGGTCGAGTGCCAGGCGGAGGGCAAGAGCAAGGCGTTCCCGGATAACCAGAAATTCAGCTTCGCTCGCGAGGCGCCCTTCCTGGAGAAGTTCACGAGTGCCAATGCAGAGATCCAGAGTTTCAAGACGAGCACCGGGAACTTCGGCGAGGCCAAGGACGTGGCGGTCAAGAGCTTGACGGCGTGGCAGGATGCAGTGGTCAAGACGATCTTCGTGCAGGCTGATCTTTCGGTGTCGCAGTTGTCACAGGACCAGGGTCATACGGAGTCTGTCCAGGCCTCCCCGATGATGGCTATGCCCTGAAACCAAGTCTGGGCCGACGCCCCAATGTGGTTTTAAGGCGTGGCGAACGGGGGCGCCTGGTGGACTCCGCACGACTCCCTTGAGGACTGCAAGGCGGTGGAGTCGCTCCTCCTGGAGAACCTAAATGAAATCATCGACGGCATGGGCGACCCCGAGACTGCCGAGAAGCTTATCGCGTGCTCGGGTCGATTTGACATGATGCAGTTCCTCAAGGTGAACGCAGGCTCGGACGGAGGTGGCACGAAGCGTCTGGAGAAGCTCGTCTCGGCTCTTTCAGGGGCGAGCGCAGACGCCAAGCAGATCAAAACGTACAACGATGCGATCGAGGAGGCGACCAAGACGAGGACGAAGGTCAGGCTGCAGATCACCGCTAGGAGCGGAATGTTGATCGTCCAGAAAAAGAAGACTGGAGAGGTCACGCAGTTTCTGAAGCAGGCCAAGGAGCTCAAGGTGAGCTTGCCCAAGAAGCTGCGCACCCGCATCGACGAGATGAGAAAGGGAAGCGTCGGCGGCGTCGCTGCCGACGGCTCATGAGTCGGCCGAGGCGGCCGAGCTGCGTCTGGGAGTCTTGGCCCAAGGCCATGGGGCCAGGCTAGGCCAGGGCTATCATAGCCATGGCCCATAGCCCGGCTATGGGCCGCAGCAGGCAGCAGCCTGCAGCCTGCAGCCTGGAGTGGAGTCCACTCGCTGCGAGTGGCTGAAATCGTTTTATCTCCTCCCCCTCCACCCCTCCCCCCTCCGGCCTTCCGTCCTCCCTCCCCACCTCCTTCCTCCCTCCTCTGTCTCTCTCCTCTCTTCTCCCATCTCCTCTGTGCTCCGTGCTCCCTCCCTCCTCCCTCTCCCCTCTCCCCCTCCTCCTGCGACTCCTGCGGCAACTTCATCATCCGCTTCATCCTCCTCCTTCTTCCGCTTCATCCTCTTCCGCTTCATCTCATCCTCTTCCGCTTCATCCTCTTCCTCGTCTGCAGCTCTCGGCTCCAGCTCCGGCTCCGGCTCTCCTGGATCCAGCCTGGATCTCTTCGATTCCTCCTCCTCTGACCTCCTTTTCCTCCTCCTTCTCCTCCCCCTCTTTCATCTCCACCTCGTCCTCCTCCTGGACTCCTCCTCCCTCGTCCTCCTCCTCCTCCTCCTCCTCCTCCCTCCTCCTCACCTCTTCGGTCCTCCCCCACCCTCCCCCACCCTCACCTCTACCCCCTTGTCTTCCAGGCGGCCTGCCCTCTGTGCGAGTGGGTACAAGGGGAGGAGGATGGTGAGGGGGGGAAGAGGAGGAGGAGGAGGAGGAGGAGGATGAGGAGGAGAAGGAGGAGGAATGAGGAAGGAGGAGGAGGAGGAATCAGGAGGAAAGATGACTGGGATGATGAGGGAAGGAGGGAAGGCCCGACTCGACTCAAGAGGGAGAAGAGGAACAAGGAACATGGTGGCAGCATGGCACGGAAGGAAGGACGGAAGGAAGGAAGGAAGAAGTAGGGAATGCAGCAATGCAGGATAAGGAGGACCATTGACCATAGACCATGGACCATAGAAAGTAGAAAGGTTGGGAAGTCAGGAGGATGCCTGAGGAGGAGGAGATGAAGGAGGAAGGAGGAAGAGGGATAAGGAGATCTAGATACTTAGATATCCAGGATATCCCATATCCAGCGTCATTTTCGAACCCGAAGTCGGGGAAATCAATCACGTCACTAAGTCAAGCATATTACGCCAACAAGTCCTTGCTGCGCCCAGGTGTGACTTGTTGGCGTGAATTGCTAGACTTGTTGGCGTAATCTGCTTGACTTAGTGACGTGATTTGCCCGACTTAGGGTTCGAAACTGGCGCTTGGCTATGCGCTAAGTCGGAATGAAAATGCAAGAAACTTTCAATCTGGACTTTATGCCCTAGTCTTGTGGGCGCCCTAGTGTTCGCGGCGGGTCACACAAGTTCTGCATGCTGGCTACATGGGTTTTGTGTGTTGACAACCTTAAAAGCACATTAAAATGCTAAAGGAGACACCCACTAAGACGCACCAAGAGGCCACCACGAAGCGCGGTATCACAAGAGGCTCCGATGGGCATCCACGAGACTTCGGGCCCTGTTGAGTGCCAGTCTCTTGCGCCTCATTCATCCTCATTATCATGCTCTCCTTCCTCCTCCGCATCCTCATCCTCATCATCCTCATCTTTCTCCTCGCCCCCCCCCGTCATCAGCATCATATTCATCGTCCGTGTCCCCACCCATCCGTCCATGCATCTAAGCTCACCCTTGCTCCTCTTCCTCCTACCTCCTTCGCGCGGCTCGGTCGGTCCATGCGTGCCCCCGCGCGTCGTTGATCACCTCAACTTGCCTGGGCGTCGTTTCTGGATGAGTTGGTGGGGATGCGCGGAGCGTCCACACTTTCAACGGGCTTCATTGGTTTTGCATGAGTTGTGCAACCGATGTGTTGGTTATATATGTGTGCAGTTGCTAACTCAGAGGCAACGTAAATGCACGCATGCGAGTGCCCATAGCGCTTAACATGCACGCCATCCACATGTTGCGTTGTTACATTTACCCCAGCTCATCGCAGCATCAATCCTGATTCCGTTTCAGAACGGACGCGTTACAGCACATTGGTGTCGTTGTTTCGGTTCGGGGCGATGTATGTTCGGAGGGTGGCCCGAGGATAATGATGGTGCCTTGCGATGGGCAGGCGCAGTACATCGTTTGATGATGATGGTGATGATGCGGAGGAGGTGGACGGATGCATCGCCGATTGGCCCATTGGATGTTGTTGTTTGTTGTAATGAGGATGGAGCGAGGATGCGGATGAGGTGTTGGTATTACTAGAATTAAGATAGCATTGGGAGGTGAGGGTAACGATGAGGAGGTGGAGGATTGATGCACCGCTGGCGTACTGCAACTCTTGAGCTCAAATAGCTCGAGCGCAACACCATCTTCAGCATGTCAATCAAATGCTGAACCGTCTATCTCGACAGGGCCGTCTGACGGCCACGTCGGCACAGCGCTGCCAACAGCTCTCAGTGTTAGCTCAGCTAGTCCTAGAGCGAATGCAGTCGGACTGGGCATAGGGCCCTGCGGGCGTGCACTGATCTCGCCGCTCGCCGACTCTGTGGCCAACCGTCGCCACCCCCGTGCCTAGCGTTTATACCAAACAATGAAACAGGATGCCCCAACAGGCCCCATGAGCTGCACCCGCTCCTTGATTTTAACACGCTGGAAATCATGCGCCCGCCAGGTTTCCACACCCGAAAGTCCGATGAAACAGCAGCCGCGGTGCTGGATGCCATCTGTGGCCTCGAGTCGGCGAGCGTGGAGATGAGGGCATCTGGCAGGTTCGTGGCAATGATCATCTCCACGAGGCTGACGCAACCAAGCTCCGCCTGGTGAGTTGTCACAAGTCGTGCGCCGACCATTTCAAGAACCCGCTTGACTGGTGGATATTCGTAAAACTTGGACTCGGACGACTGCGCGATTATGAAATACACGCCCCTAGTATGTGCGACCCACGCGAGCATCGCCACTGCACAAGCAGTGGTGTTCGTGATCTTTGCACGTGCATCGCCAGTCGAACCATGAACCTTGACATGTCGACCTGCAGTGAACCACTTGGGAGTACTCCAGCACGAACTATTTGGCCTCATGAGAACCGTACCGCCCGCATGCACTGCGTACACCAATTTACATGCATAAGCGATCCCTGTAGTAGTGCTGCGATTTTCTGTCCAATGTCGCGTATCAACATCGAACTCACGCACTCGGTTTTCGCCAGCGTACCTGAGCCAGAACGAGTAATCTCCACGACTAGGTTACAGCTCGATCGCCATGTAGACTCGTGTCGTGGACGCGTAGTACCGCTGCACCTGCATGATTGCCGCATCGACCATGACAAACTCTGGAGCATCGACTGGCACATTCGTGTTGGCGTACACATCCTCGCGAAATTCCCAAGGAATGCCCTTGGGCGACGCATGTCTGTCAATCCACGCAGGTATTGGCGCGTGAGGCTGCCCAACCAACGCAAGCCTAGACTCATCAGCGTCATATGTCTGTCCATTGCAGCGGAGATCCCTGCCTCGCCGGGCCATGGTGGGTACACGTGGCAGGGCGCTGCCCATAAAGATACATCAGCCATAACATGGCTACGGCGGTGTGACATCGATCGGAGAGGGATGTCGCTATGCCACCTTCGCCGTGGGGGGGGGGGTGCGGTATGGTGGGGCGGGGGGGGGGGGGCGAGGATGCGAAGACGGGTGCCGATGCGTTTGGAGAGGGGGCGGGCGTGGGCGACGTTGAAGTGAGGAACCTGTGCCATGCGATGGCGTGCCTCCTGTCAGACGGACAGGGCGAGTAATGCACGACCGGCCTCCGATGGTTCACGCTCAACCTATCAGCTGCAGCGACGTTCAACGCAATTCACTGGTACCCACTGAAAACTCAATGATGTTTCAACGCGTACTGACATGTATGTCTTAATGGTGTAACATGTGTGTTGCTGTGTGATAGTTTGCTGCGCTGGCTGATTGCGATGCCTGGTTTCTTTTATAAATGGATTGCCCGTTCGAACTACTGCTGGTTCACATCCTCGCGCGTGTCGCGCTGTGTTTGGTTGTGCGTGGTCGGCGGTTTCCTTTTGTATTTCGTTTGTTGGTATGCCAACTCACGTTTTCCATAGCGCCGCTCGGTGATCATCCTCGCCTGGGCGCACCCTCGCACGCGCGTCAAAAAAGACGAGCTGATCGCAAGGACGGCTGGCTGATGCGGGGGGGGGAGGGGTGTGTGAGTAGGGATGCGGAGCGAGAGGGTGATAGCACTTCAGCCCGAGACTTGATATAGGTAGGAGGGAGTGGTAGAGTGAGAGAGAGAGAGAGAGAGAGAGACAGAGAAAGAGAGAGAGAGATTGTGATAGCATGCCCCACGACTGCGCGCGAGCTCGGCGCTTACGCTGCGCCCCCGTCGGAAAAAATAAAAAAAATCTGCCCCTGTCGCGGACGAGGTGCCCGAGCAAATCGAGTTTCTCGAAGCATCGAACCTCCCAATTCCTCTGATGCACGCTTGCGAAAACTAGTGCTGCTTGCAAGTTCAGAGACTCGTCTTCAAACGTTGCATGGGGCAATGGATTACCGCGCTTGTGTATCCCACGGGTCATGCGTATGGAAAATGATGCTTAAACATCAGGGGCGTGCCCGACAGCTTCATAAACTCAGCATGGCAAAGTGCCAGGTCCAGCAACTGCTGCAACACCTCACGGGGTATCTGCACGGGCGGTCTATTCAAAACTTTCATGCAGCGATGCAGCGCAAGGGCAGCATGATGAAGCGGTATGCCGTGCCTCATTTGATACGCGTGCAGCCCAGACAAGTACACCGCCCATGGCAACATTGCGTTTGTTTCTGAACCCATTGTTTTCATCATAGGAATATGCTCGTGTCCATTCATAGTTTTTTTTTCTAGACGTTTGATCCTGTAGTCATGTGGAATATCATTTTCGTCGCACCAGCTAAACAATTGCTCGTCG